ATGCATTTAAGTAATGCATTGCTCATTAATAATAATAGAAAGATGTGTTAGAAAGAATACAACTATGCACAATATGGATTTTGTTTTATTTCATTTATTTTTTCTAGTAAAGTACATACAAAACATAAAAACATACTTTCATTGAGAAAATAACTTTAAATTATTATTATTATTATGGACCAGTTATTTATCAGCTGTAATTTAATTATCAGGATACCTTCATACTATCATAAATTATCTGTCCTGGTAGTTTTTGTGCCTCTAAACTCAGAATCAGATTGTGATGTTGGTCTCTTTGCATATCAGACTCTTTTATGAGTGAGTGAGTCTCGAGATGTGAGTGTGTTTCCTCTCATATAAATCCAGACATGCGAGTGGCAGTGATTGGAGCTGGAGTCATTGGCCTGTCAACAGCTCAGAGCATCTATGAGCAGTATCACTCCATCGTCAGTCCGCTGACCATTGAGGTGTACGCGGACCGTTTCACGCCACTGACCACCAGTGATGGAGCTGCTGGCTTCTGGCAGCCGTACCTCTACGATAAGGGCAACGTCCAGGAGACGTACGTGCAGTCTGTTTAACCCTCTTTTTATTCTCTATTTTGTCTGTCGCCACCATTTTTTAATGTTGTATTTGTGCTCATGTTTAGAAAATGGAATAAAGAGACATTTGACTACTTGCTGAGCTTCCTCAGTTCACCAGAGTCCGTAAAAATGGGTATTTTTCTTCAGTCTGGCTACAACCTCTGCTCTGAACCAGTCCCAGTGAGTAGAGCTTTGTTCTGAACAGTTGAACCTGACCTCAAAGATAAGGTTTGACATTGTTTAGGAAAAACTTTTACAACCAAGACCAAAAGGTGCCGCACAGCTTCAAATAGAAATATAGTTAAAGTGTAACCTCAGATAACGCGTTCATAAATTGATCACGTGATCACCAGAGAGTGACTGAGTGAAAGTAGAGCTTTGTTCACTGCACAAAGATGGGGGCCTGCAGTGGTAGGAAAACAATAACAGAGAGGCCTCATCAAGGGTTTGAACTTGGGGTTAGCACATTAACACAGCTAAGACATGTTTAGTGTATAAATGATTGTGTTCTCATACTATGTGGGTCGTTTTTGAATGCAGGATCCCTCTTTCAAAGATATTGTCCTGGGCTTCAGGCAGCTCACAGAGAGAGAACTGCAGATGTTCCCCGGATACAAGTAGGTTCCCGCTGAAACTGCCATGAAAGCAAAACCCAGAGAGAACATTAGTTAGGTAGATTGTGTATTTAATGCTGAACATTTGAACCTTTCCAACCAAGACTTTGCTGTGTATCAGAAATCAAGAATACAGAAAAATGTCTTCCAATATGTATATAATAATGTATATAATGTACACAGATGTTTATCCTGATAAAGGGATTGTTCTGATTTCTGATGCTTTCATCAGGCAACTTACTGTAAATGTTTGTATGTGAACTATCTGTGCATCATTGATCTGTTTGTTTTTATCTCTTTAAACAATATATTGCTAATATTTAGGATTGTATGTATAATTCTGTGTTCAGCAGCTCTAACACATCTGTCTCCTCTTCCAGTTATGGGTGGTTCAACACTGCTCTCATGGTGGAAGGTAAATCCTATTTGCCCTGGCTGATGGATTGGTGAGTGATTAACTTCTCTCTTAAGTAACTCTCCATGTTGTATCAGCACTTTATTTACCAGAGCTCAGTTCATCTGGTGTAGTGCCTGTTTACAACATCATTTATTACCCAATAAAAAGGTGAATGGAGGCACTCGATTGCTTGTTAAATACACAATGTATTGACTTGTTTAAATTAAACAACACTAATTTCTGCTTTAAATTGTTTACCATTTACTATACTGTGATTCTTCTGAATCACTTCAACAAGTCTGAAGTTTTACGGGATATACATACCCTTATATACTGTATTAAAATAAGTGCAAAGTAAAAAGTAGTGTACAGTGTATACCAACTGAGTGCTAACCATCATGCAGTGCTGTAGTCAAGACCCCCTTTGTCAGGTTCAGGACCAGCCGAATCCAAGAGAGAGACAGAGTCAAAACCAAGACAGAAATGAAACAATGCTTTTGCCAATGAGATGAGTTTGTGCAGCCAGGTCATTGATTGAATGTGAATGCCCGTTATAGATAGAGTTTGAATTAAACCAATAAAAAAAAATGCTCTTTACCAATGGTTCCATTTTGAAAGAGGAAGTTCAGAAAACAAAACATATAAGTGTGGATGGCCAAATCTGAGACAAGTCCAAGAATTAACAAGTCTGAGACAATAAAAAAAACTTCTTGAGTCTGAGAACTGGTCTTCTGAGGTACTACAGCACTGCTGCCATGCATCATGCAGGTGTGAGAAAAAGGCACATTTAGACAGCTGCCAGACGGGAATGACCTTGTTAGTGTCTGAATTGTTCTTAAAATGTTTCCATCTGACCCATTGTCCTCAACATATGAGTCCCTATACGCTGTATAATGAACAGTAAACACAGCCTGTCAGTTGTTTTTCTTAATCTATAGTTTTAGGTCAAAAACCTTGATTTTCAGTGGTGTTTTCTGGAGCTCATTATCTGTTTTTTGGTGTCATTCTCAGGTTGCAAAAAAGGGGTGTGAAATTTTACAACAGGAAAATAGAGTCCTTCAAGGAGGTTAGTGAAGGCTTTTCAATTTTATAGTTGCATATACTGTATATATTTATTATTATATTTTATACAGTCAGACATCCAGAATATTGTATTCATTCTAGCTTACATTAAGAGATACTCACAAAATGTGTTATCACTTGTCGTATTTGTTATTTCTTATCATGCTGTATTTAGCTGGCAGAAACTGGGGCAGACGTGATAATAAACTGCACGGGGATAAGATCAGGAGAGCTCCAGCCAGACCCCGAGCTCAAACCAGGCCGCGGTCAGATAGTGAAGGTGAGAGAAGACGGGTTCAAATGTCTTTTAATAGTTCATATAACCAGCTGTAAAGGAACCACGTAATAGCGGTTGAACCTTCCTCTGTTTCTCAGGTGGACGCTCCGTGGCTGAAGCATTGGATTCTTACCCACAATTTTACAACAGGAGTCTACAATTCACCGTACATCATTCCAGGGTAGATCTAGTGACACAAAAACACTTATTAACACTGATCTTAGATGGATGTACAGTATCATATATAATGCACACACAGTGTTAGTTTCTATAGAGTGATTATTTATGAAATATAGCTTTATTCCAACCATAGTTGCAGTGGTTATACTGTGTTGTCCAGCTACCATGGCCCATTCTGTTGCTTTCTGCCAGAGCACTTGTAATTTGCAAAGTTTTTTGGAGCCAGAATGCTACAAAGCCAAAGTTGTTTTCGTGACCTAACTTCACATCTGTGTGTGCAGGAGTCGTCTTGTGACAGTCGGCGGGGTTTTCCAGTTGGGAAACTGGAGTGAACAGAACAACTCCACCGACCATAAGAATATCTGGGATGGCGCTTGCCAGCTTGAACCCAGTCTCAAGGTATCCAAATGTTGTTTGTTTAACAGGCCATAAAACAAATTACTCTCTCATCTGTTATTTACAGCGAGTGCTACAGTATATTTAGAATACAGTCCTCAAATAATTGAGTGACAATTTGGTGCACCAATACCCAAATCTGAAGGCACAAAACCCACTTGATTAAAAGATATAATGTGTAGCTTTTCCTCATTAAACTATCTATGAACACTAGACCAATGTTATATATTACCCACAATGTTTTTAACAATGTCCAAACCCAGAGAAATCTGGGTTATTTTATTTATTCACGTAACGGTGCATTTTACCGCTCATTTACCCTTTGCACATGGATTTTGGTTGTGGACGTTTTATCCAGTTTTAAGCCACATCTCTACAATACTCTTTTTAGTTCTTGGTTGTTTTTAACTATATATTTAAACCAGATGAAGAATTTTAGTCATCAAAAGTCTCGATTTTAAGTTATCAGAGAAACTAGCTGAGCTAACGTTAGAAGGGCCCAACTGGAAGGCCCTCCGGGAGGTCCTTTGTCTGCTGAACAGTGTTAAAGAATCCCTGATTTTTAAGGTGAAACTCCTTTATTCAGTGTTTTCACCGGTTTTAATCACCGGGTCTGTTTGTTGTGGAGAGGAGACATGGTAAAAACCTCCTGAACAATGAACACTGAAGGAATCCTAACTGAGAAAAGCTGACTGCAATGATGGCAACAATTCCCATCATCCCACAGTACTTTAGCAAACTTTTGTTATTGTTTAGATGTGAGAGACTCCCCCCTAGTGGCAGAATGTACATAATGTATGTCTAATGTAAACAAAGAAATCATAAAGTAATGATTTCTTTCAAGCTTGAGAAAGATTATGTCTTGTTCTCTAACCACAGAATGCCAGGATAGTAGAGGACTGGTCCGGCCTCAGGCCTGTCCGCAGCAAAGTCCGACTGGAGAGGGAGGCCATAAAGTCTGGTGCAACTTCAATAGAGGTAAACTTTAACAGCTAAGCAATGCTTTAAATATTAATTTCTGGTCACTTAACTTCTGAAATATCTTTGCTCTCATTCAGGTGATTCACAACTACGGCCATGGAGGTTTCGGACTCACCATTCACAGAGGCTGCGCCCAGGAGGCAGCGAGGCTCTTCGGTCAGATCGTGGAGCAAAAAGGCAAAGGTCCAAAAGCCCGCTTGTAAATCTGTTCGGCAGCAGTGATTGGTGCTCCTTTTCAAATTTCAATGCCAGTGCCTTGTATCTCATAAAAAAACACTGATCTTATCCATAACTAGCATTTTAAAGCAAACAGATATTCAGCATCATATATTTTTGAGGTAATTACATCACTTTAAAACAACGTAATGTATATGTAACATCCATTATTAATTCACATGTAACAAAATCAATCATAGGAGGTTTGGGTCATTTAAAAGAAGTATATAAAGTGTACCTCTCTTTCACTCATCACACTGTTTAGTAAAAAAATAACAACATGAATCCACTGCTCTTTTTGAAAGGTTATTTACTATAGTATCATACACATTTACATCCAGTGCATTGACAAGAATCTGTGCACACAGACACTTAATGCAGCACTATATCTCAAACACTGGCAGGTAAGACTCAGCTTGCCTGTACTAGTTAACCTTTTTTAAACAAAACTTTACTCAGTGTGGGCAAAGTCCGTCTTCACATCACCTTTGTTACAAACAAAAGCAAAGACAACAACTAAACCAGGTATTGATACAGTATTTACAGAAAGACAGAACGCCCTGCTAAATGGTTGTGTATGCAGCATGGATTTTAGATCGTAACACCATATACTCATGTTAATAAATCATGTAATTCTTACTTACTAGGTTGAGCGTTGGGTGATGAAAATACTTAGATTTAGATTTCCTAATACTTCAATTTACATTATGTCGTCTTCAGTCCAGGATCTGTGGTTCCAGTTGTGCTATAATTGTGAAATATTCTCGCCTGTATGATGCTCTGATTAGGGCTTTTTCAGATGAATGTAAATAAAATCACCACGTAATGATCAAGACGTGAGGTGGTATTTTCATTATTATTAGAGTAATACCTGCTTTTTCCTCATTTCTTTAGCAGAGAACAAATATCCATCCATGTTGAAATGTGAAATAATACTGACACAAGAAGAAAGAACAGACACAGGATTTCAAAAGGATGCTTACAGTATACGAGGAAGTCAGTGACTCACTGTGCAGTCTGTCATTTCACTGCCTTGACAGAAGTGAATCCTAAATGGAGAAACCACAGACCTTATTTAATCAAACGGTCTGTTGATTCGATAAACTGTTCTTCATTCCAGCAATGCACTTTTTTTTTTAGAAAGCTGAGTTTGCAATTAGTGTATTTTAACAGGCAATTTGTGTGCACAAGATAATGCTCTGTCTTATCTACGCATCTATGTCCGTTATGCTAGTAGACGCAGCTTTTTCATAAGGTTGAGAAGACGTTTCTCAAACACAAACAGAATAGGTAGTTTTTAAGGCTCCTTGAATTAGGTATTTGAAGCTAACTTCTAACACGTTTACCTTCTTTATTCAGGAATCAAATACTTTGCTTGAAGTATTTGAATTCTCACTTGTTCAAGGATGTTTAACACATCGTTCCACCAATAATTTTCTCGATATTGCACTTGTGTAGGTTAGTTGGTCTCTCACAGTCACTCTGTGCGCAGTTATTCAGTGGCGAAATTGTGACAGCAATGGTGGTTGAAGACTATATAATAATAATATATAATATTGTGCTGCCTGGCTCTCTGAAGCCACTGTGGTGCCTAAACTGAAGAGTCATAGGATGGGACTGGAGATGGACACCGAAAGCTGGTTGAGCTTTTTTTTTCCGCCTCTCCTTGCCTATTTTTCCTCACAGTGGTTGCCTCTCTCAGTCGTTCTCCATCCCGACGTCTCCTCAGCCCTGGGAGCCAGGGCTGGACTGAGGGATTCTCTCTGAGTTGCGGGAGGAGTCCCGGCCCACCATCTCCTGGCCCCACTCGCGGTGGCTGGACTCCTGCAGGCCCCGGCCTGTTGTCTCAATTGGCAGGGCACAGGAGGCGATGGCAGCTAGGAGGCAGCAGCAGCAGTACACGGACAGAGCCAGATACACAGACGACTCCAACATCACCTGCAGGATGTAGCCCGGGGGACAGACAGACAAATTACCACCGCTTTCTTATGCTGTTAAATATTTAAATGAGGAAGCTGAAGGGCGATACCTGTGCAACAAAAGGAGTAATGAGGGCTCCAACTCTGGCCATTCCACTGCTTGTTCCCAGACCTAAAGCCCTGGTCGCTGTCGGGTACACCTGCAGAGTTTCAGAAAATACTGAGGAGGCTGCCCTGATGTTTGCTCCACTCAGCTATTGATCTCATCTGAGCTGTACTATTAACTGTTTGCAAGTATCATACCTCTGGAGTGTACACATAGGCAGCCTGAAATCCTCCCGCGATGAAAGCTCTGGCGATGAATATCAACACTGTCATGGAAACTCTGCAACAGAGAAACCAGTAATGCTGGTTAAATAAATGAGGGAGCTGCAATTTCATGTTTAACAATCTCACTAGTATCCAGCTTACCTCCCGACACAACCGTAGAGTGGAATGATGCACATAGAGAATATAAAGAAACACAAGGCCATGGTCTTCCTCCTTCCCAGTCGATCAATGGCCCACAGTGTCACCAGCAGTCCTGTGCAACAATGCAAAACTCCATATTTGTTAAATGTAACATGCAGGATTGCTCTTTGTTTCAGTGCAGTAATTAATTTATGCTTTTATGGTTTACTATGTGCACAGATCTTTCTCAAGCCAGACATTTTGACATATCATTGGAGCAAAAGCACAGGTTTAACTAATAATGTTAATAATGGCTCCATTTTATTTAGGTGAGCTGGTAGTCAGTGAGCCAGCGTGCCAGCAGGGCCCTGGCACGCCTATACTGAATGCAGCCATCATTAGTGGACAAATATTGTAGCTGCAGTTAAATACCTTTCATAAAAATGACTTGATTGTGTCCTTTCTCCCGAAACTTCAGACTTAGGACAATTAAAATCCAGTTATGTTTGTTAAAATCAAAGTAATGGGAATATTCCCAGATCCTGAATGCAAGCCTTTCCATCTTCCAAGCTATCATTATGATGGTTTACTTATAAGTTATTGCTGTTCTCCTTAACTGATCTATCCCTGAACAAATGTAGTAACAGCTGTAATAATTACACAGTATTTAGCATTATTATGAAGACCTTTTTAGTACTAGGAAATACCATAGCAATAGGTGGAGCAACTAACAAGCATTTACTGGATATTATCCTTTAATAAAGAACATTTAGTGAGTACTGAGAAAAAAACATACAGCATGCAACTTGCAACCACAAAAACAAAACATTATTGACAAAAAATACTGACTTTGTGAAGACATTTAACTGGCGTGTACCTGGGAATTCAGATAAGGTGGTCCACAACAGGTCTTTGTAGTCGTCAGAGTTCAGATATTTACACTCCAAGTTGCATCGGAGCTCCCTCTTATTACCTTTGGACACTAGAGGGAAGCATAAAACAACACAAACGGCAGAGTTCATACCCAGCAGCCTCTGTGTTGCTTTTTTTAACACAGTATAAATGTATAGACCTTTATCGTGGCAGACATTTTGATTAGGCAGAGTAGGAAAAGCACAAGTGTAACTAATGATATTAACAATGGCTCTGTTCCATTAGAGTCCTTGTAACCAGCTTTAATGTTATCAGGTACACCTGTGCTTTTCCTGCTAACAGATGTTACATTTCTTAAAAGTGGTTGATTCTTTCAGAGACATTTTCGATGCTTATTCATTCCAAATATAAAGACTGTCAACACAAGTCTCTGTTTAGAATCAGAAATGTTTATCTCACAGTTCAACCCACAAGTCACTGAACTACAATATCTCTTTCCTCAGTATACCAAATCAAAATGTGTGTGTCCTTGAATCTGTGAGGGCGTCTGTTGGTGTCGGAGCAGTGACTCACTTCCACATGCGCCTCCCTCCTGAAACAGCTCCGTAGTGAGCAGCACCAGTCCGTAGTAAGAGAAGGCGTTGGCGAACCTGAAGAGACAGAGAAACAGGATGAAACAATGGTGGCTCACACGAACTGAGTGAGAGACTCAGACTCATGTGTCTGTGGACTTGGAGAACATAAGGTGTTTGCAGAGTTGAGAGAAAGGTGGCTTTATCGTTCACTCCACTTACCAAATAAACCACAGCAGAACTGTAGTCCAGCGAAAGTGTGATGAAAACAAGTCTTGAATCTTTCCACGATCCTCCTGATTAACAGAACAGACACAAAGACAAGTGAACATATAACATACCAGCACATGAATAATGTCCAGAGAGTCTGCAGAAACAGGCCTCTACCTGTCTGGCAGCGATAAGTTTTCCCAGTGGCATCGGTGCTCCGTTCTCCGTCGCAATCCGCTTCAGTGTGGCCAGAGCTTTTTCCTGGTTCCCCGTCAACACATCGTACCGAGCACTCTCTGGTAGCCACTGCTCCCAACCCCCCCCAAAAAACAGACAGGTCAGTTTATAAAGCTATCATTTGTTATTATCATCATCATTATTATGGCTGTTATCATCCCTGTCATCATTATTATTAGTCATATTTCTATTAATATTGTCATTATTGTTATTTTTGTGTCTCTGTCTCTGTATAATTCAGCCAAATTAAGCAATGTTTTCACTTAGGACTGGTATGTGTGCTCATATAACACTTTTATTATTGGTTATTATTTAGTGTAATTATTCCAAACCTTATAATTTCTAAAATACAATCATTTTAGATTGTGCTTGGTATAAAAACCTTTAATAATGTAAAAACATCAAACAGATCACCACCGGGTTGCCCACTTGAGCTGCTTAGACACACTTAGCCTACACAAATATAAATGTTAAACTTTTGTCAATATGGACATACTACACATCCTTAGATCAGTTAGACTCTCCAGATTTCAATCCTTCAGTTCATTTTACAGAAACTATGAGCACCAAAGTATCAAATGATCAAATAAATGATTCATAATTGATGTTATTCGATAGCTTACTTTATATACAAGTAATATTAATTCAAAAATCTTAATTTTAATGTGATAGTATTTCCCATCTTTTCAGAGCTTTCTGAGTCTTGTGCAAAAGGAATTAAAGGCCTAAATAAAGCAACATTTTAGGGCTGATAACGTAATACTCACGAAACATAGGATGGCAAAGATGAAGAGAGGAATGGTAGAAAGGCCAAGCAGCCAACGCCAGCCCAGAGTGGGCATCACCAGGATTGCTAAGAGGACCTCAAACACGGTGCCCAGTGCCCAAAATATCTGCAAGGCAAAATCTAAATTATACAAAATCCTGCAAGCAAAATAAATCATTTCAGTGCTGTGCAGTTATGCTTGCATGTTCTGTCATCTCTGGATGTTAACACTATTTCTAGGTGGATGATAGATGTGTGAGACCGTAGTAAAGGGACGTCCATACCTCAATCAGCAAGATACACGTGGCTCTGGACTTCATAGGCAGAAATTCAGCATACAGAGTCACCCTTATGAGGACAGACATTTCCCAGTTAATTCTAACTCAAATAATCCACTGCACTGTTGTTTGTGGGTAAAGATAGATGTGGATTACTCACGACTGTGGGGCTCCTCCGATGCCAAAGCCAACCAGTGCACGGAGGACGAGGATCCAGCCATAAACAGGTGCAAATGCACTCAACAGGCCATAGAACATAGTCCACAGCACACTCATCTTGAGACCCTGTGTGTGCGTATGATCAGAACACAACAAGCTGCTAAATAAATGATCTGATGAAGCTCTTCGGGAGAGAAATCCAAAAGCTAAACATTTATAAACTCAAGTATAAAGGTAGAAAGAAATACGATATAATAATCTACATGTCAAAACAGAGGCTTTAATTCAAACTTACTGTCTTTCTGCCGTATTTGTCAGCTATATTTCCCCAAAGAAAAGAGCTGATCATCATTCCAATAAACACTGCCTGCATGTGTGAGAAAAAAAAGAGTGATAATGGGATGGGGAGTGTTTCAGAGAGCTTAAATGTGCCCTTGACTATAATTTCACTGCACATAGCTGATGCACATCCTGTCAGGTAGCTTTCTGCTTTGGTGAGAGCGACTAGACCTCACTGAATGTGAAATTTTCATGAAATTATCTTCTCACATGTGTGAATGTTGTATTAATTACACTTCATATGTGATGTCATGCATGATATAAAAGAACACCTTCAGAAAAATCTGCTCCGCTGTTGTTTTATGTTGTACTCAGAAAAGTAAACATGCTTTTCATTGTCATTCAAATGGGAATATTGCAACACATAGTGACATTAAACCATTAGGGGCCCCTATTGTTTTCCACATTGTTGTCACTGTTCAATACAAACACTTACTTCAAAACAATCCCTAAGCACTTGATTTGATCAATAACTATCAGGACAGTCATATTGCACTGAAAGCAAGAGCACTTTACAGACATTAGAGAGCCATTACCGATGTAAGCATTGCCACCTCAAGGCTGGGCAGTCTCCATTCACAGTGGAGCTGTGGGGCTAAGATGCTGAGGATCATCATCTCCATAGCATCGGCCATCTGTAACAGAAAACCCACAGACACACAGTTTACACGTGTTTACTGACAGAATACAGACACACATCTGGAATTAATGTATTTTCAGTAGAGAGCAGTTCTCACCCAGGACAAGCCAGTGAGGATGGAGAGTTTCCACTGAAATGTCCCGAAGCCTATGGCCTCTACGGCATCTTCTACCATGAATGTGTCTGAGGGAAGGAGCAATGCAGAAATCCTTAAATTAGGAGATACAAACCTTTGTGAACAGAGGTCTAAGAGCTTCTATAAGGAACTGAAGTTGTACACCAGAAGTTGAGAGCAGTGGGTGCTGATGTGACCTCTACATGCCTTTGTCATTTAATTTTGTGATTTAAGGTTAATTCTTGACGTTAGAAACACATAACAAAAAAGACATTGCTTGGACTGAAAGACAAATAGTGAGTGTGGGTTTATTATAAGCTGTGTGTGCCATACTGTACCATCAGTTGGATTCGCAAACTCCCGAGGAACCGGAGCTCCATCTGCAAGAGCCACAGACTCCAGATCGGTCTGCTCTGCAATCTTGATGACCTGTTCTCTATTCTCGCCATCGTCCTCTGAGCGTGTGCTCTCACCTGTGCGACGAAAGCGGACAACACTACGGGAAAAAAAGGCAAGTTATATTTTTTAAAGGCCCAGGAGTTAAGTTATCCTTCATTGGCCTTGGTCATGGGCACTGACTGGAGCATAAACCTAACACACATGTCTTAATGGTGGAGGAAACCCACACAAACACAGGGACACCATGCAAAATCCAGACAAAAACTCCCTGCTCCAGCCGGGATTCGAACCCACGACCTTCATAAGGCGACAGTGCTCACAACAGAGCCACCCCAGTATGTCCAGTCAATTTCAGAGTGCCAGGGCAGAGCTGAACACAAATGAGAGTCAGAGGCTGTTGCCTAGGTGATATGAGCTTTTTCTGGCTGTAATTTTGTGAATGGGTGGTAATACCGTCTTATGGGCGAACCATGTCAGGCCAACTGACAGCTCTGCACACTGCTCTTTACTGCTTGGCAAGCTCATAACACCCAGAGATACGCATGTTTTCCACAGATGGAAAGGTATAATCTTCTCCCAGATGTAGATAATAGAAGGTTAAGTGAGGATGAAACACTACAAGAAAACTCGGTGAGTGTCAGTGATGCCTTAATCACTGTAATTACATAACATAGCCTACTTGCAATGGCAAGTATCAGTGCTGCAGATGAGTTTGTGGTCAGCCCAGACACTGAAATGTTCATTAGAAAGAAATATAAGTGAATGCATTCAGCAAAACTGTAACAACCCCTTTAAAACACAGTATTCTGTTCCTCATTATGTTCATGTAACTCTTCTAAGAAGCCTGTTTTTTTTTTTTTTAAGCTGAACGTCTCTGAGGAAATGTTCCTCCTGGCGACCAGGCTGGACCTGTATGGGCCAGCCTTTAGCTTAATGTACATCAGGGTTGAAATAAATCACGTTAGCCACTGAGTCATGACAGCGGAACAACGACCACAAGTTAACATTAAACTGATCACCTTAGAAATCAGAGCAACCCTGTTTCCTATGAATAAACAAAAAAATATAGTGTTCTAAGGAAGCTTATTTTTAATTAAATAACTAATATAACCGGATGCACGCTGGTATTAAATGCATGCTGCTTTTAAGGAATGTGCAGCTATTTGTGGTCCAGTGAGCTAATCACAAACACAATGCGAGGCAGTCAGAGGGCGACGCGTCGGGCCAAAAACGTGCTGTCACGGCCGACAGAAGGGACCGAATTCAAATTTAAAAAAAAAAACCCCGCAACAACAACAACAACAACAACAACAACAACAACAACAAGAACAAATAAATGCGTTTAAGGTGCGGGGCTACTCACGGCAGCTGTCTCAGTTGGAACAGATCATCGTCCATTTTGCTGTTTACTGACTGACGCTCCTCCGTTTGGCCTCATCGCCGTTTCACATTCTCACGACGAGCAGCGATTTCAGCACCGAGGAGAGCGACCTGCTCCGGGGTGTCCGCCGGCAGCCAATGGGAGGCCGCCGTGCGCGAGTCACACAGCACGAGACACGGGAGAGAGCGAGAGGGGGGAGAGAGAGAGAGAGAGAGAGAGAGAGAGGGAGAGAGAGAGAGAGAGAGGGAGAGGATACAGGAGCGGTGATCACTGAGGGGGCTGCACATGGCTGAGCGTACAGCAGTGCTGGTTACTTTTTAAATATAATAACTACTAACTGACTAATTACCTGCGTAAAGAAATAATTTAATCCAAGTATCACACTGTTAAAGTAACTTGATTACTTCATGTTACTTTTGGATTACCCCAACACCAAAATATGCTCATAAAGAGGAGAATTAATGAGTAAAAAGTGTTGATTTAAGTGTATTTTATAAGACAGAATATTGTAACCTTAAAAAAAAAGCACAAATGTAAATGTAAAAAAGAAAAACTGATGTATTTTAAAAATTGCAATCCTACTAATTGTCCCAATTTTTACTAAATGTTATCTAATGATGTATTTTGACAATACAGGGGGCTGTCTGGCAGGTTGAGGTGAGGCTTAATTGTACTTTTAGAGTAGTATTCGCCTTTTCTTTTTATGGACTCCTCCAGTTCTGTTGGTATAATTTATGATATCCATAATTTATGTTAAACTTTGGGTTGGCAGCTCAAAGTGTTTTTATATAAGGTGAAGAAATGCATCAGAATAACATTTAAAGTCGCCCTCTAGTTAAAAATATGTTAGTTTGACACTAAAAATTTTCACATTAAAGTTTCTCTGCGCTCACTGAAAAGCAGATTTTAAGGGGCGGGGCCTACAAGCATGATTTGTGACATCATAAATACTTTGGAAGACAACTCTGGTTCAATTTCCAACTTTTATACAAGTGCGATATAGAAACCTGAAGCCAAAGACTGAGAATGGCCTTTACAGTGAAGCAGGAGACATCCGATACACATTAGTGTTGCAGACTGTTTGTATATGTATTTATACATGTCTGAAGGGAATCTTTAAAATGGACCAATTGAAATATAATTGGATAAATAAAATACAAATAAACAAGAAATAATGGACGTATATGGGATATTTCTGATGAAACAACTGAGACAACATTTACAGTGTGTTTGGTTTTAGAATAGAAAACTATCTTTGAGAATGTTTTGAGCTACTGTTTCGTCGTCTTCTACTAGTCGATGAAGTATGACCACAATAAATAGCTTTAGAAGATTTAAAAACACAGAACTTTATTTGAAAATATCAGTGAATACAAAAGTGTGTAAAAACATAATGCAACATGTTAGAGACAGATAAAGATTTGGAAGCCTGTATTGGTAATAAAAGATTTAGTAGTTCTATTCAAATTCTTTTTTAGAAAAGAGAGAAATTAGCATTTATACAATGTTTGTCCTTTGAGAGAGTAAAATTGTTTATTTGTAGGCATTTCAAACAACACATAACAGACAGAAATCCCTACAAATATTAACAACAAAATGAGAAATATCCTCCCAAACTTAAAATATCAACCAAAAATAAAGACAAAGAACAAAACATTATCCCCTTATCTGTTCACTTGAGCATTGTAGTTTTTACTTTATTTAGAACAACAAATTGCAAAGAAACAAACTAAATACACGAGTCAATGTGACAGCAAATAGATTTACATTGATAAATAACATTATAACAATAAAATATGAAAACAAGTACAATATATATACACTCAAATATATATTCACCATATGTTTTAAACCCATACTAGAACAAATTCTGCCATATTCTGGTATATCTTTTGAATTAGCTGAAAAATGAATGCATATTATTTAAATTCCTTTTCCAAAACAACTTATTAAAGGCTTCTCTATTTTCTAATTACACGACTAACTGTATGATGTTGACATTTCCTTAGAGAGATCACCTTTTCTTCTACCTGTCGGATTTATTCTCTTGTGCTTTTGTTGCGGTGGTCGGACTGTAAACTGTGAGCACATCGGCACACTCTCCGATGTGCGTCCGTCCGGAAACACGCATACAAAAGCGGGAGTTCCGCAATGAAAGCAGGATGTTGTGGTGCAGACCAGAAAGCTCCGATAAGCTTATTGGGGAGTTCCTTGGCACTGGACCCATAGTCAGGTAAAACGACAACCAAAAGCTTATTGTTAGTGCACCGGGACCGAAGTTAACGCGGGTCACGTCGTCGCCGTACGTCGGATCCGAAGTGTAACGTTAACATGCGCAGACAGCAGGACAGACAGACACCGAGTCCGGTTTAACGCTACTGTTACCACACAACAACAACAACAACAACAAAACCTGCTTATAGAGATACAATGACAACTTTTATCTATATTTTAAGGTATCACCGTGGGTGTGTATTAATGGAGGCGACATAGAAACAGCCGACCGTCGGTGGTGTCGGTGAGTTAGCCTCAAACTAGCCGCCTTTTCCACGGTGTGCTAAAGGCAGTGTGAGCCGGTCGGTGGGGGACACATTGGTGAGGTGGGTGGGGGGGTGGTTGGTATCGACCCTGGCTGCAGAATAACGTTACCAGGAGATTGAATAACGTTTTTAAAGTTTGCCTATCGGTGTCTGTAGCTGGAGAGGATCATGTGGAAGAGGCTTTGCTTGAGCTGAAGCTGCGTCAGGTCTGTTTTTACCTTTTTAGATAAACGGCTCAAAGGTTAGTGGATCACGTTATTAATGATTTAATTTACTTGACGCGTTGTTTTGTCTGTGTCTTAGGGGGACAGAGAGGTTGTGATTGTAATACTTTGAAGAAGTAAACGTGAAGATAAGTGTTAAAGGGCAACAGGTTAGTTTATAAATAGGGTTTTGTATGTGTTTGTTGAAGATATCACACAGAACAGACTGTCATTTATTTATTCTCTATCACATAATTCACTTTTATTTTGAGTGCCACTGATTTTGCTGCACATCTCGACCATCTTAGTGCACTTTCTGTTTGCCTGAACATACAACAAAACATAAACAATATAAACAAACAACAACGGTAATTAAAAAACAGATTTCTAATTAAAACGGTTACAGTTCTGATTCAACCCGGTGGGAACATGGAGGGTAATGCAGTCCTGACGTGTACGTTTGTTTAGGAGTACTTTATAGATAAACGCATACCAGTGTTGATCTCTTCTCACACACAGAGAGAGAGAGAGGGCCAGCAAACAATGTCACCCTCACCTACTGACACCAGAGGCTGCCATGAAAGAGATAGAAACTACTCACACACATTCACACGCCGATGGCACAGCACTGGGGGCAATTTGGGGTTCAGTATTTTGCTGACGGACACTTCGACATGCAGCCGGAGGAGCTGAGCATGTTTCTTGTTGTTTCTCTTTCACTCGCCTCCCATTCGAAGTCGTCCAGTGTGCATCATTAACGTAAAGTTGTCTTTTCAGAAACAAGATGATAAAAAACTGGGGCGTCATTGGTGGGATAGCTGCTGCGATTGCAGCTGGAGTTTACGTTTTGTGGGGCCCAATTACAGAGAGAAAGAAGAGAAAGAGAGGTAAGAATAGAGTATAACCACATAACATGATATACAATAAAAGCAGTACCTCACTGTGACTTGTGTTTTCTTTCAGGTATGGTTCCTGGTCTGTTGAACTTAGGCAACACCTGCTTCCTGAACTCTTTGCTTCAGGGTTTGGCAGCATGTCCGTCCTTCATCGGGTGGCTGGAGAAGTTTTCAGGTTCGCCTACGATCCAGTCATGCAAAGACAACCAGTTGTCCACAACACTGCTTCAGCTTCTCAAAGGTATATAAAACCAGTCTGTGATATCAGTCACTAGAGTGCAGTGGACGTGTAGTGTTCTTTCATACGGGGGGTGGCAGTACCTCAGTCCGTAGAGACTCGGCTGGGGAACCAGAGGGTCACCGGTTCAAACTGGAGAGATCAGATAAGATTCCCGGTGCCCCATCTCTTCATATTTTTGACACCGATTGTGTCTCTAACAGCTCTGTCCAGTGATGAGCCTGGGGATGAAGACGTACTCGATGCCGGTTGCCTCCTGGATGTTCTCCGGCTGTACCGGTGGCACATTAGTTCATTTGAAGAGCAGGTTAGTCAGAAATGATTTTGAGTGATATTTCTTATATTTCTCTATATAATGTAAGATTCAGTGTCTTATTAAAGTCTGTCTGTTTGTTCTCAGGATGCACATGAACTTTTTCATGTCCTTACATCTTCTCTGGAGGAGGAGCGGGATCGTCAACCCAAAGTCACTCACTTGTTTGACGTGCAGTCCCTCGAGGCAAGTTACCACACACACATATCTCTTGTATGCCAATGCCTCCAGTATGCGTTCAGTTCAGCACTTTGGAGCACATGTGTAGACTCTGCCTCCCACCTCTTTTCAAACTTCATTATATATATATTTTGATGTCGAAGTGTCAAAAATGACAAATCGAGTACTTCACTCCCAGTTATTCTGTGTGTGTTTGTATTTATTCCAGAGTCTACCTGATCAAGATGAGAAAACTATGACCTGCAGAAGTCGAGGTAAGTAGACGAAGACGTTATGGAGCCTAGAATATCAAACCATGAAGAAAATATTTGATCTGTATTCAGTTTTCTTTTTGCAGCCCCTCTTCATCCAATACCAAGCCCGTGGAAGTTTCAGCATCCTTTTCATGGTCGTTTAACAAGCAACATGTCATGCAAGCGCTGCGAACAACAAGTGAGTTTGTGGTTTGATTGATTTTTCCCAGGAAGTGAATATCAAGTTAGTTTTGTGTTTGACTTTTTGACATTGCATTTGTGTAGAGTCCGGTTCGATATGACTCGTTTGAGAGTCTCTCCCTGTCCATCCCTTTACCTCAGTGGGTAAGCAAACATTCCAGGAACACATGAATTATTATTATTATTATTATTATTATTATTATTATTATTTTATTACTTAATGTACCTTTCTGTTGTTCTGTTTGTCATCATTTGATCTGCATATGTCCTCAGGGTCGACCTATGTCTCTAGATCAGTGTCTCCAGCATTTCATCTCCTCAGAAACCATCAAAGAAGTGGAGTG